GAGCTCTGCCTTAGTCACAATGGATCCGGCTACCTAACGCAGAAAGCCACTGGCAACTCCAATTCGCCGGTCGATTTCTTCCTCAATTTTCTATCACTAGTAAATACGACTCCGAAGTACTTGAACTTCTCCACCTGTTCCACTGCTTCTCCGTTAATCTGAAGAGAACAGCGAGCAGGAGAACGAGAAAGCACAAGACGTTTCGTTTTAGATAGGTTCACAAGCATGCCGGCCACGCAGCTCTCGGTTCCTTTCCAGGGAGCTCTGTAGATCGGTTTCAGAAGATGACAGTAAAACAAGGTAGTCTGCAAACAGCAGCCTTCTCGTCTCCACATCTCTACACCGATCGCCTTGGCTGCTGCTTGCTATTCAATCCATGTACAACATAAGCAGGAGAGGGGAGAGAACACAGTCTTGGCGGAGACCAGCGCCAACGTTGAAACAATACTTGTGGCAAACGATTCACAACAGCGTCATGTAACAGCTAACTTCAAGTTCATGTTCATATTTGACAATGTGCCAGGAACCGCACCGTTGGGTCGGCAACGATGTCCTATTTTCGTATAGTGAAAGAGCAGCCAGTGCACGTGCATGTAAAGGACTGCATGCCGCGAAGAAGCGGTGTTGAACCTATTCGCCTCGCTTGCCGTTGTGGCGTTTGTACGATCATGTTATTTACCTGAAATCAAATTATCTGTATTTATTCTGCGTGAAGCGATCCAAAGCTCTTACGGTTAATTGATGGTTTCAAAGTAAATCTAGTAAAATCTAGAAGAATACTCAGACCGCAAACCCGGGAGAAAGTAGCGAGGTCAATGGCTGTACGTGTTCATGAGGAGAATATGAAAGTATTCCAATTCGTCGTCTGCCCTCTGAGCAGTGAATAATCGTCTTTATAAGTCAAGGATCGTCTTGAGTGTTAGTAATGGAGGCCGACAGCTTACTGACAGCGTGTCAAATTCGAGGTAGAAAAAACGCTTGTTGTAGAGCGATCGGTTCACTCACCGTTCATCTTTCCGAGGTAGTTAAACAGTCGCTAGTTTCCATACGAGGAGTTTTAATGCAATTACAACCAGAACAGAGCTGCACTGCCGATCGAATTACGCTTGATCTCCAGATTAATAAGAAACCCGGTCGACAAGTGAAAGTTCATTGTTACTCAGTTACGAATGAAATTATAATTATGCAAATTAATCTCCGTTACTGTTAGTTTGTACGTTAATATGGCACTTTCACTGCTTGGCCCGTCCGCGTCCGTGATATCTGTTAACAGAACACGATTAATTGCTAATCTATCGAGGAAGAGAATTGAGTTTGGACTTCGGCTACGTGCCGCCGCGCCGCGTAGCGATCGAACGGGACACGACGACGATGACGTTCGAAAGATCGGTCGGTCGCCGTCATCAGGGGAACGCAACGAGGCCGACATCGACCAGCGTCCAGCCTCGTTTCGATTGCAAGTCAACTCGACGAAGAAGCGTGTCGCCGCTTCTGCGAGAAACGGGATAAACGGACAGCGCAGGTTGCGACAAACGGTCATAAAGCAGATGGAAGGCATAGCGAGGAAAGCTGAGACTAGACAGACGCAAGAAAGGTGACGTACTGCGCTGTTGGTCATTCTCAGGACAGCGCGCGTCAACGGAACGTATCCGACGTTGCCTGAATCCTCTTCTGTGAGGAAGTAAAAAAAGCTTATTCGGATGTCTATTTACACTTCGTAAGCGTCCACCATAAGCATAGTTCGTTTCTAGTTCCATTTCCTCATGGAACTTACATCGCAGCGCTAACCTTCTTCGGGTATTTGGAAATAGCCTTACTTCAAGCCGTACATAAACGGAGTTACAACGAACTTATCAAC